TTGAGGCTATTTTGCGGCTGTCTTGGGCCGGTTTTTGGGTCAGCCCAAGAGGACACTAGAAGGGCTCCAAGATGGCCTGGAGAGGTCCGCCGCGTGGGGCATGTTGAATGGTCGTCCAAGTGCCGGTTCGACGGGCCGTGTGGACGCGGTGTTAGGGGCCGTCTTGGGGCGATTTTTGGGTCATGCTTGTTTGTCTTAGGGCTCCTGAGTTGCCAAGAGGGGCCCAAGAGGACCCCCGCACCCGGCATGTTGAACGATCGTCCAAATGCCAGGTCGACGGGCCGTCTTGAGGCCGTTTTCGCACGGGGCTAATTAGGACGGGGGTAAATCCGTGGGTTTCGGAACACGACAGCCGAGGGCTGTGGGGGCCGTCGTCTTCGTCGTCGTCGTCGTCGTCGTCGTGTTCCTCTCCCCTCCTCCTCCTCCTCCTCCTCCTCCTCCTCCTCCTCCTCCTCTTCCTCCTCCTCCTCCTCCTCCTCCTTTTCCTCCTCCTCCTCCTCCTCCCTCCCTCCCTCCTCCTCCTCCTCCTCCTCCTCTCTCCTCCTCCTCCTCCTCCCTTCCTCCTCTCCTCCCTCCTCCTCCTCCCCTCCTCCTCCTCCTCCTCCTCCTGCTCTTTTTCTTCTCCCCCTCTTTCAACTTCTCCTCCCCCTCCTCCTCTTCCTCCTCCTCCTCCTCCTCCTCCTCCTCTTCCTCCTCCTCCTCCCACCTCCTGCTCCTGCTCCTGCTGCTGCTGCTCCTCCTTCTCCTCCTGGTTTTCCCATTGGTTTTTTGAGCACCGCGGCCCCGGCAGGCACCACGGGCTCCACAGAAGCTCCACAAAGGCCCCACGGATTCGCAGGTCCCACAGGCTCCCGAGGTCCAGCGATAGTGAAAACAGCTAGGAGGAAGAGGCGGAGGAGGGGGAGGAGGAGGAGGAGGAGGAGGAGGAGGAGGAGGAGGAGGAGGATCACCGACCAAACTGCCAGGTCAGCGAGCGGCCCGCCATTGAACAGTCCCGCGAGGGCGCTAGGCGCAACGAGGAATTGCCATTGGGGGACACCCATTGCTTGGGGAAACCCCAAGTCGCAGCCTGTTTAAGGTGGTTGCTAACGAGGGCCCGCCCTGGCTAGCAGCCCCAAATCGAAAGCACTGTGCCCGGCGAGGTGGATGAGCAGAGGAGACGGCCTGCGTTGGAAACGCCGGCTCCCTCTCGTGGAGGGACAAGTGGGGGAGGTGAGGGGGAGAGGGCCTGCGTTGAAAACGCCGGCTCCCTCTCTTGGAGGGCGGCTCCCTCTCGTGGAGGGCGGCTCCCTCTCGTTGAGGGCGGCCCCTCTCGTGGAGGGCGGCTCCCTCTCGTGGTGGGCGGCTCCTCCTCGTGGAGGGAGGCTCCCCCACGTGGAGGCGTTCCCTCTCGAGGAGGGCGGCCCCCTCTCGTGGAGGGCGGTTCCCTCTCGTGGAGGGCGGCTTCCTCTCGTGGAGGGCGTCTTCCTCTCGTGGAGGGCGGCAGGGCGGCTCCCTCTCGTGGAGGGCGGCCCCCTCTCGTGGAGGGCGGCTCCCTCTCATTAAAAATGTCCTCCCTCTCGTGGAGGGCGGTTCCCTTTCGTGGAGGGCGGTTCCCTCTCGCGGAGGGCGGCTCCTTCCCGTAGAGGGCAATGGGGGAGGTGAGGAGGGGAGGGCCTTCGTTGGAAACGCGGTCTCCCTCTCGTGGAGGGCGGCTCCCTCTCGGCCTTATCCCACTTGATCGCGTGCTTGATCTTTTTTGTCCACTTGCTTCTGCAGCCTTTTCCAGGAGGACCTTTTCAGGAACATCTGGCTTCTTAGCCGCAGCGGGCCTTTTCAGGAGGCGACCGCATGCGAAGTCCTCGTGCTTCTGTCAGCTTGCGGCGCCCTCCGCGTCGCTTGCTGCTCTGTCCCGCGACTCCTCTTCCGAGACGGCGGCTGCGCCTCCAACTGCTGCTGAGTCCGATGCTGCCGCCCCTGCCGCGAGGGCGCCTGCTGCTGCGGCTGCCGCTGCTGCTGCGCTAGTGTCTGCTGCTACTGATGCAGCTGATGCTACAGCGGCTGCTGCAGGGGCTGGCCCGCTTTCGAGCGCAAGCCTGGGCCTGCGCGGGGTCTTGCTGCTCTCTGACCAGGGGCCGCTCTTCCATGAGCTCCATGGCGACTGGGGGTCCCAATCTCCGCCCCCGTGCCATGACTGCGACGTGTCGGACATGGTCGCGTACTTCCCAACGTAGTGGAGGGGCATATCACCTTGAGGACCAGCGGTGGCCGCCCGACCGATCGACTGCGCGCAGTTGGCCAGCGCTTGCTGCATTTGCTGCCATGCGCCAGTGTTTCCTGCACCCCGTCGGCTTGCACCTTCTTCTCTGACCAGCTGGCTTCTGCTCAGCGGCATGCGCTGGCTGAGGTAAACGTAGCTGTAGTCGGCACGCGCGATCGGCGGATCCGCTTGCAAGTTCGTGCCGACGGGGCTGTCGGGGAATCTGTCAGTGTACGGGCCCGATCAGGGCTGGTGGCCTATGAGCAGCGGTTTCGCGCGCTTTACCTGTTTGGAGCCCCCCTAAACTGCCGCGGGCCAGCCCAGACATCATGCAAGGCCAGAAACGCCACAAGCATGAAGCGCCACAGCGTTTTTGCTAACCATCCTGTGGTGCTGGGTCTTCGCTTTGAAGAGAGCGGCCTGCGCTCATCCTTCTTTTCCTCCTCCGCCCTCTCCCTCCTCCCGCCGCCATCATGGCCGTCGTCGTCGCGCTTTTCGTTGTCCCGTGCAGGGGGCTCCACAAATAAGGCCCCGATGCCATTGCC